GGTGCACGCATGTGTACTAGCGTCTGCGCGACACTCCAGCTGCTCCTGGATGATCGCACAGGCGCTGTATGCGTCCTGCGCATGTGCGGAAGCGCAGAACTCATCAAAACCGGGTAAGGACCGCGGGCGGGCGTGCCCTTCACCGTTCCCGGAAGTTACTTACTTCCGGGTTCGGCGACCAACCGGTTCGCAGGGACTACCGCGAACTGGTTGAAACCCATCCCTGCTATGCTCTCAGTGTACATAAAAGAAAAGATACATTTGTCATGAATCATAAGGTACAACACTTAATGATAGTCATAGGGTACAAATAAGCAATCAGGAAACAATATCAATATAAATCGTAAGGATACAAGCAACAAAGTTTCAGTCATGCAGTCATAAGTGAGGGGAGATGGGTGATAGGGACGATGAGAAGATTAATAGTAATAGTAATGCAGACTTAGGAAATAGTTTGACAATGTTGAGGGAATTATTTGTTTAGCAGAGTGATGGCGTTCAGGAAAAGACTGTTCTTGTGCCTTCTTGTTCTGGTGTGCAGTGCTCTGTTAGTTAAGACTTAGAAACAGGAATGGCGTGAAACAATAGAGGACCCTTTAGATATGTTTCAAACAGTTTATTATCCAATATTTCTTTATCCCGCCTTGAAAAACTATATAAAAGCTTGTTGAATCCTTTGTTCTGGGTCCTGGCATTTTTCTGGCTGGGACCCCTTTTATCGAAGTGCTTCAATACCAGCTATTATTATGGTGTAGCGAACAGATTTTCGTATTTCTTCGTTGTTTAGCAATATTTACAACCTGGCCTATCCAAACATACAACTTGATGAAAAAAGAAACAAAATCAACAAAAATAGGAATAATTTAAAAATCTCAAGAAACATTGGCACTCTTAAGCTAAAGTAAATCAAAGGTTAAAGGCTTATCGAAGCACCTTTGCTTTCGCCTCTGCCGGTAGAATTGCCTATTCCTTTATTTCATAATCAGGTCTGTCCTTTTGCACAGATGAGAGGTAAGAAGAATGCAAAGGTATTATTTGGCTGGTTCAATCTGGTGTTTGCAAAATGGTTGTTAAATTCTTCGGCTTCCTCCCTGGAGGTGACCAAGGTCTAGATTGAATACAGAGCATATGATTGCCTGCAACGGATCTGAGCAACTCCCCCGGGACACTTTGAGCTCAGTGCTTAAATTCTCACTATCTGCATCAAACATACTTGTGACCCCTGTTAACACAGATATGTTGTTGTGGTTAGGAGGAAATTTAGCCCAGTTTCTCACCGGGCAAGATTCAAGAGGAGAGTTAAGTTAATGCTCTGACCAAGGCTTCCCAAGAGCATGAAGCAAACTCCTTGTCCCATTTTAAATAAACCCCTTTTATTAATTTACTGTGAATTCTGCTCGTTCACATCCAGCAAAATCTTTCGAGGGAGGATTAACAGTCACAGACCTTCTCTGGCTTGGAGAGCTGCCAGGCCGATATCTGCAAAACTTGGCAAGGAGTCTTGGAGAGTCAGGAACCAATTAAGCAAACTAATTGTCTCCTGCAAGCTCCACTCCCCTTTTGCTCCTCTTTTATTCCCTCTGGGAGGGGCCATTCATCGCCCACCTGGGGCCTAACT